ATGTTTAGTGGCATCCCAGGAGCACCACCCTACCCCTAACAATCAAAAATGTCTCCACACATTGCCAAATATCCTGGGGCCCCAAATCATCCCAGTTTGAAAACCACTCTTCTGGAGTCTTGCTACTAAAACTGTGGTCTGTACCTCAGGAGAAGCAGCTGGAAGTTTTTAAGAAATGAAGACTTTCAAGCCTTCTAATTCTGTAGGACCCCAGCCATACTGAATTGGAAGATGAATTTCAACAAGATTCTGAAGGTGCTGCACAGGCATATTCAAGTTTGAATAGCACTGTTGGAGCCTGTTTCTCTATTAGCAGGAGGGCAGTGGAGAAGAGGGAAGTATGGGAGGTGGAAAGAGAAAGGGGGTACAAGAACACGGTAGAATAGCCAAGAAACTTGGTTGACATTGAAGACAGGTAGAACTTTAAGATCAAGCATAAATAATTTTTCTTGCTGCAAAATTTTTGAGAAAGTTGCCAGTGACAAAGATAAAGAAGAAAATCTTATTGACAATTTAAAGGAGAAAAAAAATTAGCCAGATGTAGTGGTTCATGACTATAATCCCAGTACTCGGGGAGGCTGAGGCAGGTAGATTTCATGAGCTCAGGAGTTCGAGACCAGCCTGAGGATGAGCCAGACCCCATCTCTACTAAGAAAAAACAAAAAACAAACAAACAAAAACTAGCCAGGTGTGGTGGTGCATGCCTATCGTCCCAGCTATTTGGGAGGCTGAGGCAAAAGGATTGGTCAAGCCCAAGAGTTTGAGGGTGCTATGAGCTATGATGCCAAGGGCATGCTACACAGGGTGACACAATGAGACTCTGTCTCAAAAAAAAAAAAAAAGGAGGAAAAAAATAGCGTTAGGACTATATATTGCTAGTCACAATTTTAAATCACTGAGAACAGTGACCATTAAGATCCTAGTGTGTGAAATCCACACACAGTGTAGCCCCCTTCACCTGGAGGTTACTAACTTACTTTATGTGTACGATAGCCCAAACTATAAAAAATTGGAAACTATAAAAATTCCATTCCAGTAAGAAAGAAGGTTCTCAGAGATACGCTGGGTTTTCCCTTTCCTACAGAATATTCTCTAAATGTACCAGCATTAGTAATTTTGTTGCTGATATCATTCTTTAAATGTGTAACCTGTGCTGGTCCCTGTGCTAACTGCTTTACTTGTATTATTTTGTCTGCTCAAACACTGTAAGGTAGATAGTATTATTATCCCATTTTACCAGTGAGAAGATTTAAGTGGAGATTTCCCCTCAGTCACACAGGCTCATACTATATCAGAGTCTGGAAGCCATCAAGTTATTATGCACAAGTGTAACTGCCAGCAAAGGTCATAGTCGTGTGAATGAATAGTAAAAAGAAATTAACGTCTAAAAGACAAGTGCCAGTCCCACTGATTCTAGCCCATCACCCACTTTTAGCTTAGTATACTACATGCAGAAATGAGTTAATTCCTTAAGTACTGAGGGCTGTTCAGGAACACTTGGCTTTACATTTTGTAACTTAATATGTACATGACGTGAACTAACAGTCACACACTCAGACATTCTATAAATATTGGTTATTGATATTTTTGTGTAACGAGTTCAAGGATGTTTTCAATACTTCGTTGTTACTCTTCCTTCTTCCCCTAAGCTAATATAAAGTAAACTGATCTGCCTCAAACCTTCTGTGTAGAGGCAAACTGAAACTAATTTATTTATAACTGGTTAGAAAACCCAGTTGATAGGAATCTGTCAGCCAGGCTAGCTAATGAAGCTGGCCTTATGCTTGGGTGCTTGTCACAACCTCACAGGGGCCAACTGTGGGGTCCACTAGTGCTGGCAGAAGTCAAGCTCTGCCTCCCCATGCCTCACTGAAACATAGCTTTCCTTAGCTCACCCCTTCCCTTGAGCCCAAAGTATCAACTACCTTTGACTGAAAAATTAATTCTGGCTACTCCCCTCATAGGATATATTGTGAAGGTGGCATGGAACTTTACAATAGTCCCTCTTAAGGGTACACCCCTGTCAACGGCCCTATGCTCTAGTCCATTAGTGACTCTAACTGTGGAAAGTTCTGACTGTGAACTATTTCTTTGTGAGGGAGGGAGGCATTGGCAACCAGAAACTTTCATTATCTCTCGTCTGTCCACCCAGAGAAGAGTTTCCTTTTAAGTGTCCTATAAACTACATTACCATTTAGAAATTTTTGAGCATTAGTGAACAAAGGAACATCATGTAGTGTTTTTTTTTAAATATATTTTTGCATTGCTGAATGAAAGAGAAGTTTGAAAATGAAAAATATGTATTTGTATTTATATATCCCTCACTCCCATCCCTAACCCCCAGGAAGTGAAAGTGTGAAATTGATACAGGGCAAGCAGCTTCCCAGCCAGGTTATAAAGCTGGGAGGTGGGGGGCGGCGAGCAGACCAGCTGCCTCCGCCTTGACGGTGTTGATGCAGTGGCAGTGAGCAGAGGAACCAGAGGACTGGAGGGTAGGCAGGGGGGCCCCGCAGGAGGCTCTAGTAGCCAAAGGGGCCAGACAACTGCTGAGGTGACACCAGCACCTTAAGCTGAACAGGGAACCCCCATTTTCTAGGCCTGGTCAATTTCATGTAAATTTCCTAGGCCTGGGAATGAAAGGGATTATAGCCATTCATTTGTGATCCAGACACCACCCAGACATGTCCCAGACATGCTACAGGTAACCACCCATGGCCCCATAAGACTATATATACCCCTAGACAAAGAGCCCAGAGAGGGACAAACAGATGGGTTTTCTCTCTCCGGCACTTCTGTATTCTTTTCTGTAAATAAATCCTGTCTTACCACTGATCTGTGGTCCACAGATTCATTCTTCCCATCACTGAAACCAAGAACCTACCGAAGAGTGAAATTCCAGTATCAAAATAATAAAGCCCATTGATGCAAAAAAAAGAAAAGTTCATGTCAATATTCAGCAAAACAGAGGGAAAAACTGATGACTAACAAGGGATCTTTGAGTACACTGAGCTGGGAATAGATGAAATAATAAATAACAATAGATAATATTGAGTATTGATTTGTGCCAAGCACTTTTCTTGCATGTTCTATCACATTCAATCTCCTACCTTGAGGGGAATTCTCAAGGCATGTATAAATATTAATCTTACTATAAGGATAAGGAAATGAATAATTAGGTAATTTGCTGGAGACATTCAGCAAGTCAACTGTGGACATGGAACCAAGCTGTCAGGACCCAGAGCTGAAGTTCTTGTCTACCACATATGTTAAGAAAGACATAAACATTATGCATCAATTTCTTGAAGAATCAATTTTTTTTTTTTTTTTTTTTTTTTTTTTTGGAGATTGAGTCTTGCTCTGGTCTGTCACTCCCAGTAGAATGCATTAGCACCATCATAGCTCACAGTAACCTCAAACTCAAGCCATTCTCCTGCCTCAGCCTCCCTAGTGACACCAAATTTCATCTTCAGTAAGTTCTTTGTCTTGGTGATTTGAAGAATAAATCTGCGGACCACAAATCAGTGGTAAGAGAGGTTTTATTTACAGAAAAGAATACAAAAACACCAAAGCTCCTTCCTGGCAGGGAGAGAAAACCAAAGTCAGGGAGAGACAACCCAAGTAGGAAAAGAAAAGCTCTGTCTATCTCTCTCTGGGCTCTTTGTCTAGGGATATATATAGTCACATGGAGCCCTCTGTAGTTACATTTAGCGAGGTTCAGTAGTTACATTTAGCGTGTTGGTAGTTACATTTAGCTTGTCTGGGACCCTCTGTGATGTATTTGGGCTACTCAGTAGTTACATTTAGCGTGTCTGGGATGCTCAGTAGTTACAGTTAGCATGTCTAGGACCTGTCTGGGACATGTCTCTGACCTGAGTGAACGGCTACAATGCCTTTCATTCCCAGGCCTAGGAAACTTGCATGAAATTGACCAGGCCTAGAAAATTGGGGTTCCCTATTCAACCAGAAGTGCAAGGGAAGGGAACCTAAGGTGCTGGTGTCTCGCCAGCAGTTGTCTGGCTCCTCTGGCTACTAGAGCCTCCTGCAGTGCCTCCCTGCCTACCCTCCAGCCCTCTGGTTCCTCTGCTCACTACCACCTCACCAACACCGCCAAGGTGGAGGCAGCCGGTCCTCGCCCCTCCCCCCAGCTCCACAAGCTGGCTGGGACGCCACTTGTCCTGTATCACTAGCAGGTGGGACTACAGCTGGCCCCGATGCACCGCTAATTTTCTATTTTTAGTGGAGGTGGGGTCTCGGTCTTGCTCAAGCTGGTCTCCAAACTCCTGAGCTCAGGCGATCCACCTGCCTCGGGCTCCCAGTGCTAGGATTACAGGTGTGAGCCACCAGCCCGCTCCCCACCACTACCCACTGCCAGTCAATCCTGAGACCAAAGATTCTCTAAAAGGATAGCCCATTTGACTAATGGACACTGCCCGGTCAGTTATTTAGACTCCTTGGGCCTCTGAGCTCATGTATAGAAGTAAATCAATTGTGCTGTATTACGGAAATGAACTCACAGTGGCTTGGTGGTGTTGAGGGGGAAGAATCTAATCATCTTAGAGTGTAAGAAACCTAAAATATTCTTTTCAGGTTTTTAAATTATTTTAAGTGAGAGAAAGAAAGCCAAAAAAAGTATCAGAAACTGTGGTAAACATTTACAGGAAAACAAATTAACACTTTTATCGTACCCAGTAAGATATTGTTTGAAACCTCACTAGGAGAGACCAGGTAGGTCCAAGCTTAACGCTGTGCGACTCTGAGGTCCGTCACTGGTTTCCAGGCAAACCTGAGGCAGGCATAAGGTCACGGGTTTGGTTTGTATGCTAAGCGCGGGGGAACAGCCGTCAGAGGCCGGAGCCCTCCCACCTGCCTAGCGGCGGCCGCGGGAATAACAATCGGGCCCGGAGCACGCTCGGAACCCTAGCGCCAGGCCCCGCCTACTCCGGGGTAGCATTTTACAGCGCGCACTTGGGGGCGGGGCCTGGCCGGCTGGGATCCGGGAGCGGAAAGCTGGGCCCCGCCGGGCGGAGAGAAAGGTGAGGAACAGTCGCCGGCTGCCAGACAATGCTGAGCGGAGCATGCCGCAGGCTCACCTTGGCCCTGCTGAGGACACGCGCACAGACGTCTGCGGTCACCCGTAGGTGTTTGCACGCGTCGGGGTCGCGGCCCTCGGCAGACCGAAGGAAAAAGGCAGAGGAGCCGCCCTGCGCCTTCGACCCGGCGCTGCTGGAGTTCCTGGTGTGCCCGCTCTCCAAGAAGCCTCTCAGGTGACTCGCCGGCTGCGGCTTTCCCGTCGCGGCCTCCCCGTCGCGGCCTCCGTTTGGAAGCAGGGCTTGGGGGGCGGGGGTGAACCGTGCGCGGCCTCTCGCAGCCAAGGGGACGTTTAGGTCATCGGGTGTTTTCCGCTGCCATTTCCTGGACGCTGGCCTGGCCTAGCTGCCACGGACCTCCTGCTGCGGTGAGAAGGACCCGAGGAAACCCGGGGGAGCTGAGTCCCAGACCTCCCAAATCATCGCCGACCCGCAGGAATGGATTGAAGCATTTGGGGGTTAGCCACTGGCTGAGCATTATTACAACCACTGGGGGACCCTTTTAAAAATGCCAAATCCAGACAGCCCCACGGCGGCGGACCGAAGGGGAATGTTTGGCTGCAAGACCTGAACATTTTTTTTTTTCTATTAGAAGACAGAGTCTCTTTCTGTTGCCTAGGCCGGCCTTGAACTACCTGCCTCAGCCTCCTGAGTAGTTGGGACCACATCCTCTCGCCCCCTCCCCAGTTCCTCAGTCCTGGATCATTTGTATTTCCTTAAAAGATCCCTAAATGATTCTAAAGTACAGCGAGTTTATGAACCATTGGGATTCAGGAAAAGTCCCAGAGCATTCAGGTTTTTAAGTTAAGATGACGACAGATATTGTAGTGGCCTCCAGATTCTTGTGAATGTGTACAACTGTTGCCCGACAGTCCTGAGTGTTTAAAGCTGTGGCTGTCTGTCCGTTGGCTCCTAGTTATGGGATAGCAGGTTTTTGTGAAAGTCTTCTTAACCTTTAACTTAGTTCCTGGGACAAACAGTTCTACAGGTCCAGACTGCTAAAACTAAGTATTGACACTAGTATTATAAATTGCGTAACAAAAACTCTAGTATTGTAGATCCCATAAACAAAACACCAAAATATTATCCGTGATTATCTTTAGATTGTAGATTGCTCACAATTTTTCTTTTCTTTCTTTATTTTTGTTTTGTTTTGTCCTGTAAGGAACATATTCAGTATTCTAAAACAGTGTAATTACCATTTGATTTACCTTTTAGCTAATTGTAACTAGTCATGGCAGGCTCACTGCTTTCCAGAATTTACTCATTTCTGCCATCTCATCCCTTTCAGTGGTTTCCTTCTAATGAATCAGTTATGTTTCTCTAGTTAGCATTTATTCTAAAATGAGGAAATTGGCTCGACACCGGTAGCTCAGTGGTTACCGGTGACACTGAAGGGCCCTGGCCAGCTAAAGCAACAATGACAATTGCAACAACAGCAAAAAATAGCCAGGTATTATGGCAGGCACCTGTAGTCCCAGCTACTTGGTAGGTTGAGGCAAGAGAATTGTTTCAGCCCTAGAGTTTGCTGTGAGCAGTGCTGTCACGGCACTCTACCTAGGGTGACATAGTGAGACTCCATCTCTAAAAGAAATAAATGAATAAATAAATAAAATAAGGAAATTGATTTTCCTCTATTTTTTGCTCCAGGATTGTATTAACAGGATGGTTTGGGGGTTGACTAAAGTAATGAAGGAATATATGGATAAAAGAAAGAGATCTTTCTTGAGTGGTATTTAAAAAAAATTAAGGAATAACTTTGAAATAGGTGAAAAGAGAATCAGAGAACATAAATTGGGAATGATTATAGAGTCTAAGACTTTTCTAAGAGATAAGGTTGCATTAGCTGTTGCTGCTTTTAGAATTAAATACTATTCTGGGATTAACTTATGTCAAGAATTGGATAAACAGTGTTATTTATTGAAAATTAAGGTCTTGTAAACATTTTATTTTCTACGTTCATCTTGTTCTTTTTTTCCCTCAGATACGAAGCATCAACAAATGAGTTGATTAATGAAGAGCTGGGAATAGCCTATCCAATCATTGATGGAATTCCTAATATGATACCACAGGCAGCTAGGATGACAACACATCAAACTAAGAAGCAAGAAGAAATGGAACAGCACTAGGTTATAATTTTTAACAAGCCACCACAACAACTAAATTTTCTTAATACCATATACCTTTTAAAGCTGAGTGGCGGGTAATAAGTGGAGGAGAAGAATGTTTCTGTCTCTTCCTACATTGACTGTTCTTATTCCACTGGTCTCTTTAGCAGGACTATTCTACTCAGCCTCTGTGGAAGAAAACTTCCCACATGGCTGCACTAGCACAGCTAGTCTTTGCTTTTACAGTCTGCTCCTGCCGATCACCATACCAGTGTATGTGTTCTTTCATCTTTGGACTTGGATGGGTATTAAACTCTTCCGGCATAATTAATGGAACCAGAGCCGAGATGGTTATCTATATATTGATTATGTCTTGGGTGTCTATCTTTGAAAGTTCAACTGAGTGGAAATACTGGAGACCCATTTAGTTTTCGGGACAGATGCCTTTGCTTTGCTTATGTCAGGCTTAGGACTATGGGAGGCTTAAGCTGCATAAGCTTCTTTTATTATGCCCTTATTCTGCCTTTGTTTTCTGAAGGTTCTGACTTCATAATTGCTGTATCAGGAGAAACATTTTGGCAGTGTCTTGTTGGACATTAACACATCTGATGACTAGTTCTTACTCATCTATTATTTAGTCGTTTGAAATTTTGTTCCAGGTATTAGGTAAAGTCAGCAGTAGAGAACACTGAAATAATTCTAAAGGGGCATGTTGGAATGATTGTAGAGAAATGTGTTTGTACTATTGTGATATAAAACCATAAAATAAAATGGAAATTTCATGTACTTAGAAAAATTATGATTTTGTAAAATTTACTTCATTTCTTGGGCATCCAGTGCTTACATTAATAATAAAGTAAGATGCTGACACTTTTCCATAAAAAATAAACTAGTTTGCAGCAGGTTTTTGGGTTTTTGGGGTTTTTTTCTCCCAAGAGTGTGGTACTAAGTATAAAAATGTTCTAAATTTAAAATGTAGGCTATGTTTAGAAAGGCATTTAATTCCCAAAATAGAATCATTTCCCAGGAAAGTGGGTACTCTTGGTGGGTAGGGGAGTGGATGGGAAGACTCAAATAACTGTGTCCTATTGAACTTCCAGCCATGTTTTAAGCCACTTTTCAGTTTATTTTCCTGTGTTACACGGCAGATCTAATACTACTACTTAAGGTTGTGAACATTTCTTCACATTAATAGCTTCTGACTTCCAAGAACTTCCAAAAAGACTGATCAGTACATGGTACAATATTTCTGAAGTATAGCATGAGTGTTCAGTAGTTACCCTAAAGAGACCTAAGAATTAAATATAAAAATATTTTAACAGAAACTTTAAACAGTGATTCTTCTGTCACAAATTAAAACATGTTAGGTGTACTTCCTATTGCATTATTAACATATATTAAAGTACAAATCACATTTATTTTTTTGAGACCCTTTTCCCCAGGTAGAGTTCCATCGTGTCATAGCTCATGGAAACCTCAAACTCTTGGGCACAAGCAATCCTCTGGCCTCAGCCTCTCGAGTAGCTGAGACTACAGGCCCCTGCCACAATTTTTTTTTAGGGGGGAGAGAGGGACGTGGTCTCGCTCTTGCTTAGCCTGATCTCAAACTCCTGAGCTCGGGCTGTCCACTTGTCTCTGCCTCCCAGAGTGCTAAGATTATAGGTATGAGTGAGCCACCATGCCTGGCCTACAAACCATTTTAAATTTACCCTATGGTAATAGACAAATAACATGGAAGACTGGAGGTTCCTAAAGATTTTTTCAATTAACCCTAAGTCTCATGCTTAACCAAATCAGTTATAAGAAACAATTTTGCTGACAAAACAAGCACTGTATCATGAGAAGTCAATTTCAGCTTTTGAAAGTTGAACATTTTAGAAGAAACTGACAAGCATGACCCTGGGAGAAGTTCAGTATTTAACTGGATCTTCTCACTAATAGAATTTATTTAGCAATCACTTATATAATACAAACTGTGCCACGTATAATTATAAGCATAGTATACATATCTTTTATAACCTAAGGGGTAGGTAATATTAGCACCATTTTAGAGATAAAGAAGAGGAACAGATTAAGTGACTTCCTAAATTAATATAGCTAATAGACTTTAAATGTAATCTGGCCATCCCACATCAATCTGTTTTCTCAACCCCTGTGAGATGTGCCTCTGTTTTGACCAAACATCCTCTACAAAAATAGAATCTAAGTATTTTGATTCCTAATTCTATTTTTCAATCTCCGTTTTCTTGGTGTTATCCAGATAATAAAAATCAACTGAAAAATTTGGTCCCTCCCTATCCTTTTGCTCCGGCCTACTTCCAGTTGTGAGAACAGGTTAGGAGTGAAAGGCAGGGAGTGACCAATGCCGCAGGGAAGAAATGAAAACTGGCTCAGAGAGAGGGAAGCCTCAAACAGGAGAAGATTAAAAGCTCTCTTATTTCTAGCCCGGGTTCAAGTCCTTTCCCCAACTCCCCAGGGAGCGGAAGCTGTTACAGCACAGGATGTCCCTGTCTTCTCCCTGTGTCTGGTGAGATGGTACAGCAGGGCTGCAGAGCACTGGGGAGAGTCAAGACCACTGAACTACCATGGGACGGGGGGGGGGAGCAGAAATGTGGAGACCCAACTGACATCCAGGACTGTGCACGACCCTGCTTATGGATGAGATCTCCGAGTTAGACAAGCCTCCTCCTCTAACAAGAGGCTCCATGGGAAGGGTCTGGGAAGGTGCTAAGGAAAGTTCCTAGGCTGAGCCTAGGAGGAGCGTTCAGGGTGTCAGCTTCCCACAGGGTGGGAAGTCCTCCTCCTAAACAGATGAGTCTGTTGAATCAATGGACTTGGCTGGGGGGAGAACTGTTCCATAGAATGGATAAGTCTGGCCAATGTCAGGTGGAGAAAGACCACAAAGGAAGAGAATCTGCTGAGGATGGGATGGAAAGTTCCCTACCCTTATGTAGGCTTGGCCACTCGGAAAGGAGGGGGAGGCGACTGAGCCACAGACAAGATGGCAGAGGTGGAGTCAGAATGGAGAGGCATCAAGGCCTGAGAGTCCGTAAATAGAGCTAAGAAGAGCAGGGAGTGGTGCTGTATCCACGTTCACTTCAGAAGTTGAAGATTCCAAAGAGGAGAATAACTGGGGAGAGAGGAAATGGGGAAGAGAGGTAGGCCCTGCTTAGAGCCCAAAAGGTTGGTAGGTGTGGGAAGGAAAATGGGGATAGATGGGAGGGGAGCCTAGAGCCAGGCTTAGCCCCTGCCCCAGGCTTCTTCAGACAGTCACTACCATTCCCCCCATGAGTGCAGATTTCCTGGAAAATGGTGAGCATGGAGTGCAGGGCTCTGTCAGCCAGAGCTGGGACGCCATCTGGTGTCAGCCCTTCTTGTGGACACTGAGGGCAGCACCCACACCTGACATCGCCCTGAGGGGAAGCAGTACTGCTTCTTGCAGTAAGAATTCCTTCCTCCCTTCCTCCTCCTCTCCCTCCCTCCCTCCCTCCCTCCTTCCTTCCTTCTTTCCTCTCTCTCTTTCTTTCCCTCCCTCCCTTCCTTCCTTTCTTTTCTTTTGTTTGTTGAGAAAGAGTCTTAATCTGCTGTAGCCCTGGGTAGAGTGTGGTGGCATCATAGCTAATAGCAACCTCAAACTTCTGGGTTCAAATGATCCTCTTGCCTCAGCCTCCTGAGTAGCTGGGACTGCAGGCACTTGCCATAACACCCAGCTAGTTTTCTATCTTTAGGAGAGCTGAGGTCTCTTGCTCAGGCATGTCTCACACTCCTGACCTCAAGGGATACTCTTGCCTTGGCCTCCCAGAGTGCTAGAATTACCCAGCCTTGCAGTAGAAGTCTTGATAGGAGGATGTAACTGTGGGGACAATGGGTACCTGGGCCTGCAAAATGTAAGGCACCATGTTTGAGGAGCAGTCTGGAGCCATTATGGTTTCTTGTTTCCTCAGGAAAAACCCAGACCCACATATCCTGGGTAAGCAGGGTCTGGGCCACCTCAGACATGGCACTGATGGCATCCCCTGTAAGCTTTTGGTTGATAAAGATGACTCCTGCCAGCCAGCAGACCTGGCCCACTGTGGCTCACGCTTAGCGATGGGCACCCAGTGGCCTGGCATTACCTCCATCTTCCCAAGCAGGTTGAGGCAGCTCTGGAGATTGAGACAATAACACGGTGCTGCGAGGGAGGGAAGTAGTGAGCCCCTGGAACCTCCATTTGGTGCCTCCTGTACTGGTGTTTGATGTGGAGCAGTATCAGACCCAAGGTCTTGAGGTTCTTGATGTTGCACATGGCACACACAGGAATGGCAAGCATAGCCGGGAAGAGGAGCTAGCCATTGTAGAAGGCCATCCCAAAGAAGTACTTGGCACTGGGGCTGCAGACCACAGGGCGGGCAGCAGAAAGATGAGCAGCAGCAGTGTTCATGCCCCTGGCCACAGCTTCATTCTGCCCACACCTCAACCAGGCTGCAGTACCAGTAATGGTGAATGGCTGAGGGGTCTGGCCCACACCTCAACCACAGGGAGTCTGGCCCATGCATGGGAGGTGGCCCACACCTCAACCAGGCTGCAGCAGCAGTGGCGGCGAATGTCTGAGTGTTTTTGTTAGACTGTTGGTGCCCAGGGGACAATGGGAACTGGGGGTGTCCTAGGGCCAGCCAATGGAGGGGAGGTGAGAATAGGAGGTTGGGCCCAAAGCAGTAGGAATGGTGGGGGGTTGTCCCTCTCTCCTTCCCTTCCTGCTGTCCTGCTGCAGTTGCCACTATCCCCACCCTAGCTTCTAATTCTTAAGACTGGAGTATGTGCCCTTCTTAGTGTTCAAAGCACCATATGCTTTAGTCTAGCACTTAACCTTGTGCTGTAAGAGCCTGGTTTTTTCCTTCTGTCTATATGGTAAACTGTTCGTTTTTTTAATTTAATGCTTAGCACAGAGCATCCCTTCCTGAGTCAGCACATAGCTCTGAGAAGCCTTATAACTTTAGTCAACTCACTTAACATCTCTGAGACTCATCCCAGGGCTAAAAATCCTTCTCCTTTTATAAAATTACAAGGATCGCCTAAAATTTTATATGCAAGGGTACTTTGTAAAGAACTAAGCAATAACTGGTGTCTAGAATGGCAGCGTGAGGATTTTTGTGGACCCAATCACCCATGAACAAGCTAAATATTAAAAATTACAAAACCATTAAAGTGCCTGGAAGTTGTCCTCAGGGCATAAATGAGGAAACACTCAAAGAAATCTACTAAAAGTTGGTAAGAATAGGGACTTTGTGGCATTTGACCCACCAACCACTTCTTTCCTCCTCCCCCTCAGCTCAGAGTGGTAGCCGTTCCTGGAGGGTGCAGCCAGGAATTCAGGGTTCCCTCTTCTCCCATCTCTTGGTTGAGGATTATAGTATCTCATGAGGTGTGAAAGCCACCAGCATAGTAAAGGTAATTATACCATTATGAAAGTATAAACCTGTATTTCTTCACAAACTGATTTGCGAAATGACTGTAGAAAATATGTATACAATTGTATTTGGGGGAGGAAGGAGGGCCTCATTGATATATAACATCTGGTATTAACATCACAAAAGAAAATGAATGTGAGCCAAGCTGTATTCAGAGTAAGGAAATAGTACCTTGAATTCATAGGAACACATGAAGACAACCAGAAATGGTAAAAATGAAGGTTAACATAAGTAAAGTTGCAAATACCTGTGTCGGAGCCAGGATGCCAGGTCGCTGGCCTGGCCCTTGAAACTGCTAGGAGGCAGACTGCTGTACATTCTCGCTGGTGGCATTGCTCCCCATGGGTGCCGGGGAGCCCGTTGTCTCAGTCAGGTCAGAGGCACCAGAGGCTTCAAAGGCAGTCAGTCTTAGTAGGGGGAGCCCCCACTAACTTCTCCCAAGGCCGTTTATAGAAGTGATCCCGTGGCTAATTACACCACAGGTGTGGAGACTGCCAAGCAATAATGTATGTATGTCTCTCGTGCTCTTACATGCTCTCGTGCTTTTTAACGAGCGACCAATCCCTTCCCCATTCCCTCATTACCAAGGTGTTTCTTTTCAGGTGTCTCCTACATACCCATATATACTTGTTCTCCCTTCTAAGAGACGTAACAGGTAGATGCAATATGCACAATACAAGCAGAGAGGAAAAGGAAGAGAGCTCTGTGTAGTATAAAAATAGTTTCTAGATTCCTCAACACTCTCACGAACAGATCTGCAGTCTTAAAAGACCTCATAGACCTTCAGACACTGCTGGTGAGAATA